AAAGGAATTATAACATTTATGTAGCATTTTGTAATTTGAAAGGCATTTTACATACATTATTCAACAAGCATTTGTTATTAAGCACTTAAAATGTGCTAGGCACTCTACTAGGCAAAGGGGGTACAATACAAAAATTAATAGTCTCTAGCCTAAAGGAACTTAGAGTCTACCAGAGGAAACAACAAATACAAAGATATGTAAATATGTGTGTGTGTGTGTGTGTGTGTGTGTGTGTGTGTGTGTGTGTGAGATAATGCAATTTCCAGAGGAGAGGGCACTGGCAACTATATCTGGAGTATCAATATAGGCCTCCTGTAGGAGGTGGTGTTTGAGATGAGCCTTGATGGAAGATAGAGATTATGAGAGGCAGAAATGAAGGAGTACATTCCAGGTGTGGAGAACCAATTGTACAAAGCCATGGCTCTCTTGCTATCTGTAAGATAGGGATTATGAGAAGCAGAAATGAAGAAAGAGTACATTCCAGACATGGGAAACCAACTGTACAAAGCCATGGCTCTCTTGCTATCTGTATCATAGCTTTTTCTCAGTCTTTGCTACATTTTCATCCAAGTTATTTCCACTAACTATATTGTAACCCAAGCCTCTGTCCTGGACTCTGTTTGCTTGCTATACTATCTTACTTGATGATCTCATCATCTCCCATGGATTTAATTATTTATGTAGATTATTACCAGATATATAGATCCAGTCCCAATCTCTGTTTTGAGTTCCAGGCTCACATTGCTAACTGTCCATTGAACATTTTGAACTGGATATCCTATAAATCTCTTAAATATAAATGTTTCCAAAGCTACTCATTCTTTCCATCTCACACTCCTTTTCTCAACTTCCCTATTGCTCTTGAGGGCACCAACACCCCAGTTACCCATACCCATAACCTCAATGTCATCCTCAACTCCTCACCCTCAGCCCACATATCCAATCACTTGTCAAATTTTGTCATTTTTACCTTCACAACCTCTTCATTCACACAGCTACCACCCTAGTTCAGGTAAATACCTCTCACCTAGACTGTTGCAATAGTCTTCTAATTGGTTTCCCTACTCCAATCCAGCCTCCACAGAGTTACAGAGGGGATTTTCCTAAGGCATAAGTCTTAACAAGTCACTCCACTCGAACTGTAGTGGTTCCCTATTACCTATAGGAGCAAATATGAAATCCAATGTTTAGCATTTAAAGCTCTGCACATCCTGGCTTTTTCCTACCTTTCCATTCTTCTTAGACTTCACTCCCCTCCATTTATTCTACAATCCATCTATACTAGTTAACTTAATGTTCCACAGACAGGACAAATACAATACTCTTATCTCCTGCATTTGCCTTGAGAATGAAAATCCTTCACTTCCTTAAAGACCAAATTCAAATGTCACTTTCTTTTGGGGGCCTTTACTTGTCTCCTCTGCTACTAGAATCCTCCCCTTTAAAATTTCCTTCCATCTACTCTTGATATATCTTGTATACATAAACATACATACAATACCTATTTATTTGCATGTTATCTTTCTAAGAGTGTAAGCTCCTTGAAAACAGACTGTTTTTAACTTTCTTTTTATCCCCAATACTTAGCAAAGTGCCTGGACCATAGTAAGTACTTAATAAATGTAAACTGATTAATCAGTTAATTGAGATAGATGATGAAATGTCTTGTTTGAAAATGAATAAATGAAAAGATACTTATTAAGTTCTTACTTTGTGCAAAGCATTGTGTGAGTAAGAGCATATAGGCCAATTGGTCTAAGATGTAGAGTGTATGAAGAGTAATATGTAATCACTTTTGAAAGATAGGCTGGAACCAGATTTACATAAGGTGTTAAATGCCAAATAGGGGAGTTGTATTTTGTCCTAGAAGCAATAGGGAGCCATCAAAATTCAAGTAAGAGAGTGAGATGGTCACACTTTTGCTTTAGAAATATCAATTTAATAGCTTTATGGAGGATGGATTGGAGAGAGGAGAAATAAGGCAGAAATAAGAACAGTTACAATGCTGATGCAGTAGTTCAGGTATGGGAAGGGACCTGAACTAGGAAAGTGGCAGTGTGATTGGAGAGGATGTCTAAGAGATATGGAGATAAAAATCAAGAAGATTTAGCAACTAATTGGGTATTGAGTGTGAGGGAATGTGAAGAGTCAGGTACAACATCAAGATTCAGAATGAGGGTGGACTAGAAGAATGATAGTACCCTCAGCAGAAATGAGAGTTAAGAAGAGGGAAAGATGTGAGGGAGGAATATGAGTTCTGTTTTGGACGTGTTGAGTTTAAGGTCCCAGTTGGTATTCAGATGGAAATGTCCAATATGCAGTTGATGATACTGGACAAGTTCAGAAGGCCAAGTACATAGATTTGAGAGTGATTTGCATAGAAATGAGAGGTGAACCAATGGAAACTAGTGATATCATTGAAAGAAAGGGCCCAGGACAGAGCCTTGATAGTTATCCACTGTTGAGAGTGGGACAAGGATGATAATAAAGCAAAGGAGACTGAAGAAATAACCAGAGAGGCAGGAGGAAAAGCCAGAGAGGAGAGCATATCCTGGACCAAGGGGCCAAGGAGGGGGGTCAACATTTTCAAGATGCAAAGAGGTCAAAAAAGTTGAGGACTAAAAAAGCCATGGATTTGACAATTAAGAGATCACTCATAACTTGGAGAGGGCCATTTTAGTTGAATGATGAGGGCAGAAGTTAAATTGCAAAGGGTTGAGAACTGAGTGAAAGTTCAGACAACTTGTGGAGTGGGATTTTCTATGAGTTTGACTAAGAAAGTGAGAAGAGATAAAGGATGTTAGCTTAAAGGAATGGAACTTCACAATAAACCTGTTAGATACTATAGGTATTATCACCATTTTAAGGAAAATACTGAGACCTAGAGTTAAGTGACTTTCCCATGGCTAGTTAGGGATGGAGGCAAGTTTTGGTCAATCAGTAAACAAGCATTTTTGCTGAGGATGCAAAGAAAAGCAAAAAAGACTCTACCTTTAAGGACTGTACGTTCTAATGGGGGAGATAACATGTAAATAAGTACATAATATAGTAAGAGCTAGCATTTATATACTGCTTTAAGGTTTGCAAAGCATTTTACATCTGTTATCTCATTTGACCCTCACAACAACCCTGTAAAGTAAATGCTATTAAGTTAAATATTTGTCCAGGGCCACACAGATAATAAGTGTCTGAGATAGGATTTGAACTTGGGTTTTCCTGACTCCAAGCCCAATACACTGCACCACTTAGCTTCTCAGTGAGATAGTACAGAGCAAAAAGAGAAGGTCAGAGCCTTAGAGTTCGCAGGGATTAGTGAACACACCATGAGTGAAGAACCTGCAAAAGAGATTGAGGAATAGTCAGACACATAGGAAGAGAACCCAAAGCCAAGAGAACCCAAGAACCTCAAGTCTTCCCAATTCCAGGACCAGCACTTTTATCCACTAATTCCAAGTTGCTTTTCCACTGTTACTAGGAAAATGTTTTGTAACCTTTAAAGAACTATGAGCTATTATTATTATTATAACACTCTTTTGCATGAGGGAGTGTGTTATTCTTATTTTATAGATGCAGAAATAGATTTAGACAGGTTAAGGTGACTTGTTCCAGGTGACACAGTACTTAGCAGAGCCAGGACTAGAGTTCAGTTCTCCCTGGTCCACCAAGCTGTGCTATCCCTTGTGGTTTTGAGGAAAGAACTTTATAAACCTTAAACACTATATGAGTGTAACCCATTATTATTGTCATCAACACTGCAGCTATTTAACTATATTAACAAAAAAAGAGATTATAAAAAGAAAACCAATGAAGTAGAATGAATCCCCCCCCAACACAGCCACAATTACTAAATAGTAATGTGCTATAAACAACCCTATTACATAACCACTGTGGGCAATCAGAGATTTTAATTTGAAGAACCACCATCCTTTATCAATTTTTATTCCTCAAAATCTACAGTTAACAGTACCGTAAGTAATCAGTTGTCTTAAACTGGGATTATTTTCAGAGTTCAGCAATTTTTAAAATGAATTTGTAGACTTAGAACTGCCAACACCAATATCAAGCTGCTGTGGTTAAAAACAGAATTTTCGAATTTTCATTAAGTCATGTGTGCCCAAGATAATAAGATCAAATATTGCTCTACTTTTGAGTTTTGCTTTACAGTGAAGTCAATAGTCAGAAAATGATCTTTCAAGGAATCCTTTTGTGATATGGCAGCTACATCACACAAGTGGTTTGGGAAATAGGTCACTGTTTTCATTACTTGTTGGTCTAAAGTACTTACAGCCTCTCTGTTTCTTAGAGCAAGATCAAAGACAGTATTTCTGAGCTGGAACCTGCCTGGCCATTATTAGAGGTAGTATTGATTCCATACTACTGGCAAAGTAAAACGTGTTTTGCTTCAGGGAAAAGAGGGAGACAATTAAGAAGCCTTCAGCAGTCATTTCACAGAGAACAAAACAAAATAAAGCTAAATGAGGAGAGAAATCCTCTTTTTACTGTCCACTTCAAAAAGGCTAGCAATATAAAGAGGATTTTGGTGTTTTATATTTATCATTCACATAGGACCTTTATCTGGTGAACTATAAATATTTAAAAATATTAGAATCATAGTATGTCAGAGATGTAAGAGACTTTAAATCACATAATATTGGAAAGCAGAACAGAACATTAGAATTGGAAAGATCTTAGAGACAATCTAGTCCAATTCTTTCTCATTTGTCCTCACCATGTTTTGTGTATGTATACATATACAATTGGATTGTATGAATATATGTATGTGTATACATATATACACATATACGTACTCATATTTTTATAGAGAAAAATATTTTTATAGAGAAAAAAAGTACAGAGAATTGGAGGAATATGCCCAATGTTACAGACAAAATCAGAAAGAGGGCCCAGACCTCCTCACCTACTTTTCCTACTTCTCTAGTGCTGACTACCAGCTACATTATCTCCTCTTTGTCATGAAAAAATTCAGAATGTTTATGCTATAGTTTTTACTTTCTTAATTTATTTCACTTAAATGTTTTAACGCTTTCTTTTTCTATAAGCACCCATCTCTAGCCAAAAGTATCAATCCTTAGACCACTGAGGGGTCACCACCAGGTGAAAGTGAATTTATAAAAGTAATCAGAGGACTTGATTCGGAATCCCTTCTCAGCTGCATAGGGCTGGTAAGAAACACAGTACCCCTGAGCTTCAATGTCCATTTTGACACAATCCAACAGGTCAGTGATGGCTGGCGATGCCTTCCAGGGCCCGAACTTGACCACTGATCTCTTGTCTGTCTCCAGAGTCTGTAAGGCATCAAGGCAGCGAGCGGCATCCTCCTCAGTCCGTACTGCACATACCACTACACCAGAACATCGAGCTGCCACAGCCTCTGCTCTGGCAATCCGGATCATGAGCTCAAGATTCTCATTGTATCCTGGTACTCGGAGCAAGAACTGCTTCCTGGCTACCTGCTCACCAAAGATCTGGGGTGTCTCCTCTAGGAGCTTGACCAGGGGTTGGATCTCATAGAACTGGGCTTCTCTATATACCTCTGGGATGCTGTGTGTAGGCAGCTGTCCACTTCGGAGATAGTCTAGGATGGGCCGAAAATGGGTGCCTGGTCGATCAATGAAGATTCTGCCTTGGGAATCAGGCCGAGGAGGCTTGGACATATTGAACATTTCTGCCAGCTTGGAGCCTGGGAATTTTTTCAGGGTGCCCACGGTAGTGGTATACAGTTCACCCCCCACATTCAGTTCAACAACAAGTGACATCTGTAGGTAATCAGAGAGGACTATTAGCACCTTGATTTCACCCAACAATTTCATGACACTTTCTTTTTTATTTGCAAAATATAATCTATAGTGTGGCAGAATGAGCACTAATGTTTGAGTATAAGTATAAAGTTCTAGCTGGGAATATATAAAGTATAAATATCCTGGGGAAATCAGCTAATCTTTCTGATTCTCAGTTCCATAATTTGTTGGATTTTTAAAAAAGAAGGAGGAATAATAAAATGAAATTTAATAGAGATTGATGTAAAGTCTTACACTTTGATTACCAAAAAATCAGGTTCACAAGTGTTAAAAGGAATGAGGTATAGCTAGCTAGAAATAGTTTGAAAAAGATCTTGGGGTCTCAGTGAACTGGAAACTCAATAAAAGTCAACAGTGTGATATGGCAGCAAGGAAATTAATGCAACCTGAGGCTACGCTAAAAGAGGCAAAGTGTCCTAAACTAGGCAGTTTATATGGTCCTGCTTTATACGATCTGCCCCAGTCAGACTCCATCTAGAATACTGTGTTCAGTTCTGGGTATCACATTTTAGAACATAAATTGACAAACTGATATGTGAAAAGAGGAGGGTGATTAGATGTTTATAATTTCTTAAAAGGATCAGTTAAAGGAATTAGGGATATTTAACTTGGAGAGTAAGACTCAGGGGAGAACTCATAGCTATCTTCAAGTATTTCAAATACTGTGATATGGAAGAGGGAATAGTCTTTTTCTGCTTAGCCCTAAAGGGCAGAACTATGAGTAATGGATGGAAGTAGCAAAGAGAGAAATTTAGATTTAGCATAAGGGAAAACTTCTTAACAATTAGGGCTATCAAAAAGCTGGGAGTTCCGCTTCCGGGAGCCAAGACGGTGGAGTAAAAGGGTAGTCATTCTCACTCTCCCCTATCAACCTCTGAAAACCCAGAAAATATCACCCGAGAAAAAAACCCTGGAACACCTGAACTAGAAGAAAGACAGGGAGTAGCAGTGCAGCAGCCCAGCAAATGAGTCTCCCAGTGCCTCAGCAAATAAGGGAAGCAGCACTACAAAAGGCCCCAGGCAGATAAGTACCCTGCAGCATTCATCTGAAAAGAGCTGAAGAAAGCAACCTAAAGTCTTCCTAAAGTCCAAGCCTGGCTGATCCCAGCCTGACACCAAGTAAGCTGTTAGAACCTCCAACTGTCAACCAGGAAGAGATCCTGAAGCCCAGGTGATACAGCATGCAAACACCAACACCTGGACCTCCGAGTGCCTCAGTGAGGGCGGGGGGAACCGGTGGAAACCAGCTCAGAAAACCACCAGGTGCCTAGGCACTCTACCACAAAGGAATCTCCCAGTGCATTAGCAGAAAGGAGGGAGACAGCACTGCAAGGGGCCCCAGGCAGATAAAAGCCCTGCAGCACCCATCTAAAAGGAGCTGAAGAAAGCTAAAGTAAAGGAAAGGAAAAGCAGGCAACTTCTGCTGTAATAGGATTTTCTGTCTTTTCCTGTAATGTAATTTGCCCTTGTCTGCCTCTTCCTTTCTCAGTACATTTTCTAAGATCAGACTAATCCACTTACTTGGATCTATTTAACCCACTTGATTAGATTTTTTTTATCATTACATCAAAGTCAACTAATATCCACCCCCCTTTATGTATACTCCTTTAACATGGTGTAATAACAATACAGTTCTCAAGAGTTGCAATTGTAGGGATGGAAGGGAAGGAAGAAGTGGTAGGAGATAATAGAAGGGAGGAGAGACTGAAGGAGGCGGTGGTCAAAAGCAAAGTACTGGTGAGGAGGGGAAGGGAGAGAGGAGAAAGAAAAGCATAAACAGGGGGGGAAAGGATGGAGAAAAAGACACAGATAGTAATCATAACTGTGAAAGTTGAATCGCTATCTTTTTTTTTCTCTTCTGTTGAGTTTTGTTTCTTCTTTCTGATGGTTCCTCCTATTGGTTTTAATTTTTACTTACAACTTCACTAATGTGAAAATATGTTTAATAGGAATGTAAATGTATAGCCTATATCACATTGTGCACCGTCTTGGGGAGGGTGGTGGGGAGGAAGGGGGAGAAAAATTTTAAACTCAAAAGCATATGGAAGTGATTGTTGATAAATCAAAATAAATAAAATATGCAAAAAAAAAAGAAAAAAAGAAAAGCTGGACTGATTGCCCCAGGAGGTAATAGGATAATAGATCTGGAGCTAAAATTGACCTCAGAGACCATCTGTAGTGTAATGTTGTACAGATGAGGAAAATGAGGCGCAAGGAGGTTAAATGACTTGTTTAAGGTCACACAGGTAGTTTCAAAAACAGGGTTTGAACTCAGGTCCTCTGACTCCAGAATCTCTTTCCACTATTCCACAATTCATGGGTTCCTCCTTACTAGAAATCTAAAGTCAAAGACTGGAAGAAGTATGTATGGTATAAAGAATATATGGTATATGGAGAGTATCTATAGAGGGTATGTGGTATATGGATTATACTAGAAAACTTCAGAGAACCTTTTCCATTTTTAACTTCTGTGATTCTGAGATAATTTTATGCTACCTACTTCACAGGAATGTGATGAGGAAAGGACCTTTATCACTCTTAAAGCACTATAAATGTAGGTTACATAAGCTATAAACCTAGGTACTGGGTTTATAAGTAGATTATAAGTAGGAACAGGCACCATGCTCATTAGCATGGGAAAAAGAGACCCAGAGACAAACTGAGTCACTTAGGCTCCCCTAGCAAGACAGCTGTGAAACCAGCACCAGAATCTAATTCCTGAGATCCCATCCTGAGGGTGCCTCCATTTATATTCCTGGTCAAAAATAGAGTCCCTCAGTCACCAGGAATCATTATCAAGTGAAAGGGAACTTTTAGAAGTAGACATAGGACTTTATTTGGAATGCCTTCTCTTGGTGTAGAGCTAAGAACCAAGCTTTGTGGAATATCCAAAGTCTGGGGCCAAAATGAGATAAATGGGCCAGGAAACCAAGACACAAGAAGTAATCAGAGAGAGGAGAAAAACCAGGGAAGTGTTGGATCAGGGGAAACCAAAAGAGGAGGGATTTTCACAAAAAGGAGGTGACCAGCAATGTCACACATATCGAAGACAGCAAGTAGAAGAAAGGCCCAGGATTTAAGATGTTCCAAGAACAGACAAAACTTGAAGCCATTGCTAAACAAGTATCTACTACATCACATGAAATTAGAATAACAGGAAATACTGGGGCTTTCTTTTTTTTAAACTTGTGCTCTCAGCTTAGGGCCAATGAATATTTTCCTTGAGAATGAAAAGTTGAAATTCAGAATTAATATTAACTCGGAAAAGCAAGCATATAAAATTTAGGAAAGGAATCATATACAAACTTGTACAAATGATCACAGGAAGGATGTTCTTCTAATAAGAATATAGGAGGTGTCCCATGAACGTTTCAGAAGGAGGTGGGTAAATGCCTTGTTCCCCTTCTGTCTCCTTGACAAGATGTCTGAGTCCTAGATAGTTGAGTAGTTAGAATACTTGGCTTGGAATCAGGAAAACCTGAGTTCAAATCTGGCCACAGACACTTACTGGTGTGTAACCCTAGGTAAGTCACTTAACCTCTGCTTGTCTCAGTTTCGTCAACTGTAAAATGGAGATAATAATAGCACATACCTCCTAGGGTTGCTGTGCAGATCAAATGAAATAATATTTCTAAAACACTTAGTACAGTGCCTGGCACATAGGTGTTTAATAAATGCATGTTCCTTCCTTCTGTATTGCCCATTAGCATGGTCTGTTCTGGTCTTAACTCAAGTTCTCAGGTTCTGAGTTAGCTGACATGACACTGATGATGAAAATCACATCCGATAAAAGCCTTAGTCTTGGCCTTCAAAAGAGGGGTCATCTCAGGAAAGGAGGAGCCAGTGCCAGATGGAGGTACAGACCAATGTGGAGATACAATCCAGTGCAGGATCAGAGACAAGCATCTGGAAGAAGGTCAGTGCATCCATGTAGCCCCAGTCCAGGAGAGAAGGAACCAGCAAGAGAGATGCAGAAGGAGAGGAGTCATTGCCAAACAAAGACATAAAAGGAGGGGCAGCTAGGTGGTGCAGCAGATGGAGCTCTGGCCTTGGAATCAGGAGGACCTGAGTTCAAATCCGACCTTAGACATGACACTTACTACCTGTGTGACCCTGGGAAAGTCACTTAACCCTGATTGCCTCACCATAAGGCAAAAAAAAAAAAAGACATAAAAGGAGATGAGGAACCCTTATTAGACAGAAGTATAAAGTGAAGAATGATACGTACAGCAGGAACCATAATTCTGAGAAACAACCCTATTCAGTCTCTTCACTGATACTGTGGGTTACATAGATTCTGTAGATTCCAAGGAGGATGGGACTCACAAGGGATAGGGTTGCTGGATTTCCTAGCAACCTTGAGTTCCCTCCTGGACAGTTCAACTCATAGACTATTAAAAAAACACAAACCTCAGGGCGGTTAAGTGATACAGTGGATAGAGCACCAGCCCTGGGATCAGGAGGACCTGAGTTCAAATTTGACCTCAGACACTTGACACTTAGTAGCTCTGTGACCCTGGGCAAGTCACTTTCTCCACACACACACACACACACACACACACAAAGAAAAGCCTCAGCAGGTACTACCAAGCTGCAAAGGCCCTGTGTGTTTAGGAGATAGGGTAGGATAGTGAAAAGAAAAATACATCTAGAGTCTGAAGAGAACTGAGTTCATATCCTGGCTCTAACAGCATGTTATTAGCTGGGTAACCATGAGCAAGTCATTTAACTTCTCTGAGACTGGTTATCTCCGTATAAAATGGAGATAAAAATTTGTGCCCTCTGAAATACCTGTTCCATAGGCAATAAGCTTCCCTTCATCTTAAATCGATTCTTTTCCCACTCCTTCCATCTATTAGCTCTTATTGAAACCTAGCTGCCCCATGATGACGCAGCCTCCTGTACTAGCTGCACCAAGTCTAGCCTCTCTACCTGCCAAAGCAACCTCATTCCAACCT